CATTTTAATTATTATCTATTATAAATCTTCGATTAATTTAAGCTATAGAACTAAATGGATCTGCATACTTGTAAGAACTGTAAATACTTTTACAATCAGATTAAAAGATAGCCAATGAATCTATCTTGTGGCCATAAATTATGTAAAAAATGCCTAGAAACTAAAATAAATCAAGATTAGAGTGTCGTATTTTACTGTCCATATGATCAGAAGCATGAAATATACAAAAAATTCAATTTTTTTCCTGATCTGACAATGCTTGAAGATATGGAAAATTCCTAATTAATGTAATCACAAATTGAAAATGCTAAGCATATTCATTAAAACCATTCAAAAACATTAGATAATGACATTATAGGATTGAATGGAGTATAAAACCCATAAGATAAAAATTAAATTGAAAATATATGATATGATGGTAGAATTATTAAAGAATTTGCTATTTATCTTAAGTATTAACATCTAACAATGATGTTTCTTAACAAGATTAAGAGCTTAGCACTCTTGCTACTAGTATTTACAATACTATTCAAGCCAGATATAGTTATTGATGGGAGAAATCACTTGCTTTAAATGTACACCAATATTTAAGAAAAAAATAATGAAACTAATACCTAACCAGATGTCAATTTATAACAAAAAATGAAAGAAATATAAGAAAACCAAAAGATTTTAAGCAGTCTTAAATTCTAAGATTCCTCAACTCAGGTTATTGACCATGCACTTAAATATGCTAAATACAGAGAACTTGTTGACTATTAAATTTCGGAAAAATCAGATTTTTTTGTTCGGCATATCATATAAAAAGTGCAACCTACTAAATTTGAATTGATTTACAAAGGTACAAGAGATGGATTTAAATCTAGAGATTTTCATTATCATTGTGATGGGTAAGGGCGACAAGTTAGTTTTATTTTAAGTGAATAAGGTAATGTATTTGGTGGATATTTGTCAAATTAAAAATCTAAGGGAGGGTTTTAACAAGATTAAGATGCATTTTTGTTTTCATTAACTTATCAAACTAAACATATAAGCATTAACGATTAATATGCAGGTTTTTATGACATCAATTATGGATGGACTTAGGGTGGAGGCCATGACTTATATATTTCTAGTGATTGTAATATAAATGCTGATAGCACAAGTAATCTATATATTACCTATGAATGGGTACATGGATACCATAACAGTCATGTAATGAAAAGTTATTTAGCTGGAGCTGAATAATTTAAGGTATTAGAAATAGAAGTTTATAAAGTGCTAAATTGAAAAGCTTTTAGTTAGCCATTCTATAAGTTAATTTATATTTAACTTATTTAGTGCAGAATTTTAAATGAATATGTTTACCTTCATCTATTGATATGAGATAATTGATATATTGGGGTTTTGGGGTTTTGGGGTTTTGGGG